CTCGTCCCGCCATTATCCGGATGTGGAAGTGGACCAGCACCGAGATATCCGTCGTAGTCGTTGTTTCCGCATGACGATTCGCTCGCGCGACAACTTCCGGCCGTGGTGTAATGTGAGCGAGCGGAGTTGTTAGCTCAGTCAGCTGCTCATCCTCGACCTATGCGGCTATTCTCGATCCTTGCTCAGATCGGACGGCAAATCGCAGGTGGACAACGCCGTCGTGGGCGACCGCGCGGTTGGCGACGATAAGGTGGTCATCCTGGAGCTCACCGCCGGCAAGGACAATCCCGCCGCGCTCATCGCGACGTTTAATGGTATCGTGATGAACGGCTGGCTCGACTGCGACGAGTTCACCGATGCCACTGTACCTATAAGGAAGTTGCAAAGGAAAAGCAAATGAGACACTGCGCTTCGCCCTTCTTCCCATCCGGATCCTTCCGTGGACAATTGTTTTCTCGTTGTTTTTTTTTTATTCCGCGTCTAAACACGCGTTATCTTCAATAACGAATTATATTGCGCAAGATCTACCGTTTTCTCTATATGAAGCCGACGACATATGACAACGTGTTGTTAAAGGAAGTAGAAAGATTTGGAAAACTTGGAAAGTAAGTAAAATTTTACTCGTTACTACATATACACTCGGAGAAAGAATTAGCTGTTGGACTGCTGACAGATTGCTTATTGGGAAAATCACATTCCCGATTAAAATGTATTATATATATATTTTTTAAATAGAAACTATATTTGAAGTGTTAGTGTACGTTGCCATTTATCCAGATAGCCAAATCGGCGCAAACAGATATCAAGCAGAGTTTGCAACAAATTTTTAATGATAGAAAGGCAACAAATCTAACACAGAATTTATTCTATTAGACTATATATTACCAAACTGCTGCAAGAAATGCAACGGAACCTGCTGACATGCAATGCCAGCAAATTGATGGCAGAAACTGAGCAGAATTTGCAGAAATCTGAACGGCAGATTGGTAGCAGAAACTGGGCATATCCTGATGCAAGCAATTTGACGATAGGCTATCGCCAAAACATGACCTGAATGCGGACACAGATGGCTGTGATTTTGGTACGGGATTCTGATCAAATTTGTGGTTAATCTGCACGCAGCATCTGCGAACAATTTGCTTACTGAGTACCTGATTTAATGCTATATCGTATTTGTAAAACACATGCTTAAACACTGATGAATTCGAATCTCCTCTGCATCGTGAATGTTACCTTAGGTAACTACACCATTTTGTCCATTAATATAAACAAGTTTCATATTGTCTATATATACTACAAAGAGGGAGATAGAGAGGAGGTGGGTGGGAGGGAGGGNTAAATGTTCATGCTAATAATTTCAGTTAATAAAGTTATACCTTGTATAAGCAAATGTATTTTACGTCCAATACCCAACTTTTTAGCAATAACAGTGAACTTCGAACTAACTACTATGAGATTTAGCTGCTATTATTAAGTCATTTCTTTGAATGTAGGAATTAATCAAATACCTTTTTATAAGCTATTTATACCACATATTAAAAATATGTTCAGAAATAAAGCCTTTTTCTTAATATACGATATAATTTTTTTAGTAAATAATAAACTTATATAGGGTCCCTTAACATCGCCATTGAAAATCTGAAACTCTCCAATTATATTACATAAAAAATGCCGACTGTATCACTCGCAATCCTTGCAAACCCTGCAATAATAATATACACCGTGGAGAGGACCATGGGCTGCAGCAATATACTAATATTTTTTACATTTCTTAAATATATTTCTGTTGGTATTTGTAAGTTATTTATCTGTTAGTATTGTAAGTTATTTATCTTACAAGAATTAAAAGGATATTGTATTCAATTAAATTCTATATCTTTAGTAACGAATGAAATTTTATCGATTTTTCGCAAATTTAAGGAGACAGCGGAACTTTGAATACGAGGTGCGTTAAATCACTTGCTCGTATTAATAACTCTTTCACTCGAGAATCGACATTTATATCATTTAAAATGTTTAAACACCTCTTATATCCGTCATTAAACATTGCTGCACTTAAATACGCAGCTACTTGCGCAACTTTACAGAGCATTTACATTTATAAGCAATTTTCCATAGTAATAAATGGAAACTTTCGTTCGAATTCTACATAAAATTTCCTAACAATCTCTTAAGACATATTTACGATATAAAATGCTGGTATAGTGAAATTTTTGTTTTACAACATATATCTAGAAATTTGAGCATACGCTTCTTTTGTTTTTTAACTGTGAAAATTGTAGTTTTCAATATTTTTCAGTTCAACAAATGGCAAAACACTATCCTAAGAGATTGTCCTATGAGAAATCCAAAAAACAATTTTCATTTCAAAGGTCCAAATGTCCCCTTAAGCTTCTCTAACCCCTTAACGCGTCACAAAACGCTGTGCATTTATTTTCGTATTATAGGCGGCTGTAATGACCGGTTTATTAGCATTATGTAAAATTATTAGTCACAATTTCGCGCCTGACACGCAATTATATTTGCCGGATGTCGTCGGTGATTCAGACACGTCGAGAGAAGCGATTTCCGCGAGTCTCGTCTGATATTCAGTCTATGTCATGGTGAAATCGACAACTTTTGTTTCGTTTTTTTTTCCTCTCAAATCGCGTGCGAAATCCAAGAGTCGCCGTAAGGACATTTCGAAAGGTGCGCACGGCGGCGCGCATTATTACGTAAAGTCCGCGTTCTTCGCGGCGGCGAGAAGAAACCTACCTCCGTCTTGAGATATTTGCACCGGTTGCCCGTTTTGTCCTATGCCGAGCAAGACTCCTGGACTGGGCGAATAAATGACACTCTGAGGCATCTGGTACATAATCCCTGCAGAGAACGAAGGCACATTTCCTAGGAAACCAAAGAGCAATTGAGCATGTGAGAGTAGCCATAGACGCCGGGAATTGACGTGCGGGGAAGATTTGTGTACCTCTTCGTAAATTCTAAGTGCATTCCCGAAATTTCTCGGAGTAGAATCCCACTCAAAATAAGTGAAAAATAGCAACATTTTCAGTCAAAGCGACAGTGAAGAAACCGTCATTCGAAATCGCAAAAGTGAATGTTGCTTAGAATGGAATTATGAATCCATACGAGCGAATGTTCTAATCGATTGAAGTGAATTTGTTTCCGTGACGATAGAATACATCAGATTCATTCATTAAAAATATTCACTCGATGATTTAAAGTGGAGGACTCACTCTATGGAGTGAAAAATCACTTGAATTCCTGTGATTCGACTATCACTCTTTTTCGAGTGGAATTTCACCTTAAGAAATTCAGAGAGTACGTTCTACGTCAAATTGCGGCTCGAATGTATCGCATTGTAAATATAGGGAATTGACGAGTCGAAGAACAACGTCTGTCGAATATCAATGGTTTTGTTTGAACCGATCGTTTAATATCGCATACAAATTTATATCGTATTGTGTCGTAACGATAACAAACGATGTGAAATATACGAAGAGGCTTCAAGTGTGCACCGAAATGGTGAAATTTATCATTCGATATAACGTTAAACTCGTTCTCTCTTTGCGCAGATGTAGGTGCGTCGTGAAGAAAAACTTAGGAATGACGGCCGAGGTGGTTCGAATCCAGACCACCCAGGTGCGAAACTGCGCTCTGATTCACCGTATTTCCTATTTAATATAAATTACTGCATCACATATGCATGTTTCTCTGAAAAACACGGTAACTTTTCATGGTGTGAAAACGCCGAGAGGAGAAACAATCTCTGCGTCTGATTGTTCGATCATTGATTGAGAATTTGAATTGGCGATTTTGATATTGTTTTAGTTGAGAAAAAGGCGCATTAAAAAAAATGTATTCGTTTTTGATTATCGAATGATCATTAGATCTTTAATAGTCGATTAATTGAAGTTTCGTAAAGATTTCGTTAAAATGAAGCGTAACACATATTACGAGTGCGTGCAGCATATATGTGCGAAACAAAAGTGCTGTTGCATCATTAAAATCAGTCGATAGCACCATAATTGGAGTGAATTTCCCTAATTCAATAACAATATTATTGGAACTAATATTCAAATTACTAGCTTTCTCCGGTCGGTTTTTCTATTTATAAATAACAAATTAAAAAATTCTTAAATAAATTTAAAAATATAAGAATTATTACATAATAGTAGTGTACAGATTGAAAGATTTTTTTTATACATATGTGTAATACAATTATTTTATTATTGAGATTATGTATCAGGAAAAGTAGAACATATAATCCCCTTAGATCGGAAGATTGAAATAGGTTGTTTTGAATATTTATACGAATTTAATAATCGAAATATCGGCAGCATTAAAATGAAATCTGTTGAATTAAAGGTTCAAGAGACAAATTAATAATATCAGTACAGTCAAAATAACATTGAAAATGTCGACTCAACACGGGCAAAACAGGTCGTCTCTCTCTCTTTCTCTCTCTCTGTGCAATAGCCTCCTGGAGAAACAACCATTCCCTACTTAATGTGACTCGCGTGTCCATCCGTACGAGATCCCGTACTAATAGAATCTCGCACGCGTCTTCGTTATACTGCGGGGATATATAAGTGTTCGATATGATCGAGTTCGTGGCCGGCGAGGACAACGATCACGATGACGGGTCGGCCGGATGGGGCGAGTCGCGAAAAAAAAGCGCGCGCGATCGCGCTGCGGCGATCGGTAGCACGAATGGCATCTACGCGACACATTAGCATCGATATTTATGTGTACACCTGCATCGGTAGCTCCGACGAAGAGCGGCTTTCGACCGGATCCTACTTCCCAGTTAGGCAGCGCGTTGTCGTCTAAGTTTGGTCATCGTCGGTCGTACCGACTCCTTACGGACTCCCTACACGGATAACCCCGTCATCGCTCGCACGCCTTTCGCATTTTAAACGTCCTCTCTCTCTCCCACCGCCTTCGCTCCCTCCTTCACCACCTTCTCCTCCCTTCTATCTTTTCTTACACTCTGCTCCGTTTCCTCTTCGTCTCACCGTCTCTATCTCTGCCATCGGTGTCTGTGTTTACGGTGTCTCTATTCGCTTATCTGAGCTACAGAAATCGTCTGCCCAACCAGCTATTCGTTATCAGCGCGCGATGGGATCAAACGCGACGCGAATGATAATCAGTGATAATTAGAGACCGGAACTGTCATCAGTAGCGTTCGATTTTTCTCACGAGTCAATCGGTTATATATATATATATATATATACACACACAGAGAAAGAAGGATGTTCGCTATCTTTTGACAAGCTCGATCGTTTCATTTGTCCAATTAAGGAACGGATAGGAATCGAATGTAGAACGAACCGCACACACCACAGACCAATGTTTCACCCTGATTGTCGGACGAGTGTTTGTTTGCGACGCGATCGTAAAACTCAGGACGACTTTCACCGAACTCTTATTAAGTTAACCGATGAATAATAATAAAAATTGTCAACGCCAACTTTCATTCGAGGCGATAAGAGAAAAATTAATCATTTCTATCTATGCACCAATGGAATAATTTTTCCCGGTGTAGATCCGGACTAAATAGTTTAATCGGGCTTTGGTAAAGGTCACTCGGTGAGACAAAACTTAGCAGGAAACGTTCATCTGAATTTGGTCGGCTATTCTAATTACAAGCATGGGTGAAAAAGGAGCATCTAACTACAATAGTTGCGTGTGAGACTCACCCGAGTGACTCTTGTTGGCGAGGTCCTTAGAGGCGACGGGAGAGTCGCCGTCGCTGGTGTCACCGTCGCTTTCATTGGCGCAAACATCGGATTTGGGTGACGCGCCATCCTCCTGAAACGAAGAAGCGGTAGCTTAAATTACCGAAAATTGCGCGAGTGAGACGATCCGAGAACCGACGAACGCATCCACTTTTTCTCACGTAGTGAAGGATCCGAACGACGAGTAAATGTACCAACAAACGGAAATGTAACTGTCTATAAACGTACGCGTGGACCTACCTGTCGAGCAACAGTGTATCAATGTTACAATTTCTCGCTCAACGATATATGTTACGTTGGGAAAATTATAATATCAACGTGATATTATTGTTGTTTACTGAGCAGTTACCCACCACCTATCTATCTGGTAGAGTGAGCGAGAGAGACAGAAAGAGAAAGAGATACGCGAGCTTGTTCGCGCTCCTTATATGGCCATCTCGCAGACTCCTCTCGCGGAGATTCTCGCGAATTTACGGGCGCTCGGCCCTCGACGACTTTCTCCCTTCTTCCCTAGTCAAGATTGGCTACTGTTTGCGGCGTCATTTGCTGGTTAATTGCAACATTAATCGGTGCGCGCACCTTTCGACTACCGGTAGCAACATTTTATCACCGTGGTAAATCTCCGAAGTCAAAGCGAGCTTTTCCGCGCGACCCCATGTAAGAGAGGACGCGCGTCTTCATATTAATTAAATCGTTCGATCTAAGCGAAGGTCAAGAGATGATCCATGCGGAGCGCGTCGTCGTGGCTGAGGGTGGTAGATATACCGATTGGAAAGCTCGCGAAAGCCTCGTTCCGTCTGGACGATGACACTGGTTCGCAGCAGTTTACCGAGAGTGTAGCGTGTGTGTGCAGTAGAGAAGGTGCGACAAAAAGCAACATTCCTGACTCTTAAGTCGGACTCTATATAAGTGTCTGCCATCGTGAACATTGCCTGTATATGGCGACAACCGGGCTTTGACAAAGGTGACCGTATATGGAACTCCGCTTCCACCTTCCGTGCTCGCATACGTGCGTGCGTGCGTGCGTATACGCGGCCTCCCTCCTCTTCGGCCTGTACTTTTTCTCTCTCTTTTCGTCTACCTCTCACCTTCTCTCTCTTTCCCTCACTGTCGCACTCTTTCCGTGCTGGCGAGAGAGTGGATACACCTGGATGCGCGTTTTCTTCGTCCGCAACCCCGTGATGAACGAACGGCCGCTTTATTCAGTTCATAAATCGTGCTTTGACCTCACCGGGATATCCTTCAGATTCCCTCAGACTCCTCCGGTACCGAAAGCTCCGCGCTTCCGGACAGCAGTCGCGCCATCTACCAAATCAGTGGGCCGGAAGGAGGGGAGAGCTGACACCCCTTCGAGCTTCCGGTGAACGACCGGTGCGTCAAAAAAGCTGTTCCTCATAATGACGAGTACCGATTCGTTTCAGAGAGTCCCGCCGCACACACCGGCCGGTGTTTTTCTGCTGGACCACCGATTAGAAAATATTTTACGTTAAATTAGCCAATCGCCGATGTGGGCTATCTTGCCCGCTCGTTAGCGAAACGTCTTTTTTGTCGCGCGGAATGTAGAACGATCTTATCATGGCAGACGTGTGAAGGTGAGAAGTACGGCTTTCTTCGCGCAGGATACGAGGCAGCTTGCACAACGTGTCGAGTCTTCTTACCCTCCGACTCGGCCATTCGTTACCGAACTTCATCCGCGAGAGAAACTCTGTGAGAGCGCCTGTGTACGGAATGAAATCATGAAAACATACAAACGCATGATCGTTTTGTATTTGGAGATACAATGCTTGTGCAATAATTACTCTTACTATTAACGTTCCCTATATATATCGGAAATAGTGAAGAGCATGCGATAAAGATTATCAGCGCTCATCATAAGCATAATGAAATTAAGTAACGGTGCATTCTGCTTCTTCGATTTGTCGCGACGATATTCCTCTTAACGATTTTTAATCCTTTCAACAGTTTACTTTCATCAACACGATGTCGTCGTTGAAATGATCACGTTAAACGTAGAAATCGAGGCGCTTTTTCTCTCTCTCTCTCTCTCTCTCTCTCTCGTACGATCGGAGCGCAAACCTACCTTACACGTTTTTTTCCCTCCGCATATCTTTTGTTTCGTTTTTACGAATTTAGAGAGGGGGTGAATTTTAATTATTTCAGAAAGAAAAGAAAAAATATATATATCTTTCTCTTGACGCACGTTACGGTGCGTTTCTGGATCACTGATCTGAATATGAGTCTCGAATCGAGTTGTCAAAAGTGGGTCGACACAGTCCGCTAATGTTTGAACTTTGAAAACGGGTGTCGCCACTTGAGAGTGACGAAGATATCAGCTGTGAAAATTCTCTTTGAATTAGTTGCAAGTTTCCGAGCGATTTTTGGAGATACCTACCTGGTACCTGGTTATCACGATTGTGCGAAACATCATGACATCGTGATAATGTTGAGCACAATGAGAATCTATCAGCGCAAAAATGATAAGATTCGAGACCGACTACAGTAATCGTAGGGACTATATTATCGAAGGAGGTTGTATGTATGTGTGTGTGTGCGTGTGTATAGCGTAAAAATATATAAATATTATCACAGTATTTTACAGTTACGCTGTATGTACACAAATTACGATACAAACTAATCATGAAAGCCGCATTACTCGCAGATTATCGTTAAGATCATATTATCAATAATTATTATTTGTACTCTGCAATGTCGACGCGGGGGGAGGGGGATAGATTACAGTTTTCATACATCTATTTGATCGAGTCTGTAAAAAAGTATCGCTCTACCTTCTCTAGGCTATCCATTCCCGTCATTTGCTCTTACTTGCTCTCGTCGGCTCATCTCTTCAAACACGATATAATACAGATATCAACAAAAAATACATACACACATACGCATGCACAATGTCGATGGATGGTATGTGTCACGCTCCGTAAAGGATCGGGGAAATGCGGATGCGGCAGGAAGGATTAAATTAAAAGATAGTCTAAATACTAGCTACTTATTCTACGAAAAAAGGCAATCCAAGATACTACACATGCCACTTGCGGTACAACACTTTGCACAAGAGGAAGAGGAGGATAAGGGGAGGTACAACAAACTGGACACAACAAGGAAAAATGCGCAACTTTCAAGCGTGCACCGCCGGTTTCGCCCGGCCTCGCACCCACGCCACTTATGTCGGTTTATTCGCAATACGGAAAGTACGTCTCCCTTAAGTGTACCGGAAGAACAAAATATCTAAAAAATATTTATTTCGGTGGATACTAATAACACATTTTTACACTGAGAAAACTTTTTGTTTTACTGTTTTTGTTTTTACTGAGAGAGAAATATATATTTTCTTAAATCTATAGTTTTACATTTGTTAAAGCAATTGTTCGCTTTATTTAAATCAAAGAATCTAGAGAGAGATTTAAATATGTTATTAATATCCGCCGAATAAATATTTCTTCATTTTTCAGATATTTTTTTCTCTCAGTGTAATAAAGAAGTGGAATCAAATATTGCCTGACTTCTGACAATGGGAATTCTTGGAGCGCCTCCCACAAACAAAGAATCGTATCAGGGAACCCGCCGATCCTCCCTCGCGATGCAAACGCGATATATACGTGAGATATACATGATACGAAAGGAATATCTGCGTGATCAACATCGTTTATGCGAGCGATATGTACACGCCTCGTTTGCATTCTCCTAATAAATAAGAAAATTCGACGTCAAAAAATATCAACAACCTCGCGGCTCAATAAATACAATTTAAGTTAAGTAAAAAAAAAAAATGAGAAAAAATCTATAAAAGAAAATCAAGAGAGAAAGAATGAGAGAGCTGTTGAACGAACGGACGAATATTTAATAACGTGCGCGAATCGCCACAGAGTAATTCGTCGCACAAATTACGCTATGCGGCTAACTTACGATATAATTAATTGGTAAAAAGATATACCTCTCTCTCTTTCTCGCGAAACACGAGCGTTATGTATGCACGATGACTCTCGTTGATGCGCCCGTCAATTTCGTCGAGCGCACCGAACTTTGGAGTTCGCACGAACGAACTCTCACCGTAAAGACGACCGTTCCGTCGAGTCTCACGATTCGTATCTCCATCAGGCATCTCCGAGATCTCGTCGATCATCGATAACGATCGAACTGCGATCTCCGTCGCCCCCAACATATCATATTCATCCTTCAATTTGGACGATGCCGCGTCCCTTTCGCGATTTACTTCCGGTTTTACGAGAAAACGCAAAGTCGTTCGAAACGTGCGACGCATCCGCGCCGACTGGTATTACACGGATGCACGATATGTGCGCATGTTAAATATTTAAGTACGTGTTCAAATGGACTAGATTTGTGCATGGAATCGGCGTATATGCGTCACGTACGACCGACTCTGAAGAATATTCGATCGTTGTCTTACTTGCCGATTCCTTCCGCGTCCACCGTATATCAATTTAATAAACATCATACGCGTGACTCTCTTTCTACCGTCATACACACACGCACACGCGCGCGCACGCACGCACGCACGCACGCACGCACGCACGCACGGCACACACACACACACACACACGCGCGCGCGCGGCTGATGGGCACAGCGATCTGAAGGGAAATTACGTCGGTGGATGTATACGACGTCGAAAGAGAAATTATTATATTTAAGTATCCGAAAGCCATACGTGGCCTCACGTCAGCGAGCGCTAAAATAGTTGCGCATCCCGAGAAGAAGAACGTGATTAGATTGCAAAAAACTAACGTCGTTTAGGATATCGTTGCGATCGAAAGGATGAAATTTTACCGCGAAACGCTATCACACCACTGGACGATCACTCCCCTGAAAATTAGATTTTCTCTCTCTCTCTCTCTCTCTCTCTCTCTCTCTAAATTTCTCGGGGTGAAATCTCGCTCAAAATGAGTGAAAAGTTCGGCGATATTTTCACTCGAAATTGCGAATGTTTCACTCAGAGCGAATTCCGACTCTATACGAGGGAATTTTTCAATCGATTGTTCCTGTAAACAATTCATTCTTTAGAATATTTGCACTCTTTCGACGATACAGAGTGGAAGATTCACTCCGCATGAATGAAATGTTGCTCGAATTCGGCGATCACTTCGTTCTTTCGAATCAAAGCGAATTCGAGCGATGTGCTTATTCTCCGCTTTTGTACGAATAAATTGCACAGACTCTCTCGCAAGTAAAAACGATAATCAGAGGTGAGTATTCGGATTTGACGCGGAATGAACGGCGTACTACCGTTGAGGGTGCGAGTGCGACATATGGGGATGATAGGCGGCGTGATGCGGAGGCAGGGGCGAAGGGCAGGACTGCTGATAAGGGCCAGCGGCGAGCATGGGCCCCGGGCTTGAACACGGGACGAGGTGCGAGCTCGGCGAGGCCGCGTGAGCGTGCGCTATCAGGTGCGCGTGCTGCGCGTGCTGCGAGCCCGGCGGCGGCGGTGGCGGCGGTGGCGGCGGCGGCGGATGGGGCCCCGTCGGGCCCCCCGCTGGCCCGCTACCAGGCCCGGTCGGATAACCGCCGTGCAGCGTACCACCGTGCGGCGAGCCGTACACCAGTTGCCTTACTTTCTGCTCGTCGTCGGCGATGTTGTACGTCAGCTCGGTCTCCTCGAAGCCGGTCGCCGACATTCTCTGGTCGCCGGACGAGCCCGACGGCGGCGGGTCCGGGCTGTTCAGGCACGTCTGGATCAACGCTTTGCCGGCCTCGCTCGTGATCATCGGCTGCAGTTTGCGCGTCGCGAACGTGTACACGTGGCCGGTCTCGCTCGCCACCAGCAGCATCACCTGAGTGCCGGTCAGTGTCGACAGTTCGTACGCCTGCAAGCCACAAGTTCAGCGTGTCCGTTAAACAATTGGATCCGATTACATATTCGAGAACGTCACTTGAAAACAAACCATTTGCTTACAAAAATCTCGATTTCCTCTCTATTAGCGTGATATTCATTTTTCTGTGAAAAAGGGTAAAACTTTTCCCGTATATTTAACAAGATAAAATTATGCCGACCATCCAGCAGAACTCGACTTACGTTAGTCCCTTACTTTATTAGTGCGTCTTGTTCGACGTTGCTTAGAAATCAACTGATTTATCTACTTACAAAAATGCTAATTTTTCGCATCTTGTTTTTATTTACATATCGCCTCTGTTAAATATATAATATTTTTCTATTTACTTTCTTCTTTATAAGAAAGAGAGAGAGACGTTTTTTCTCGTATACTTAATAAAGTAATATTATCCTGAGCAGATTCGATTCGAGAGTTGATCCCTCTTGCTTTATGCGCGCGATTTGTTCAACGGATCAGCCGTTTGGGGATGAATCTTATCCGACACTCGGATATTTTCTCTATATCTGGACGATTTAGGAAACTGATGCTCCGTATCGAAATAATAGAGCTTGATAATAATGGAGCTTGATGAAATTTGAAACAGATCAATCGTTATTATTTAACGTTAATGCGAAACGTCAGACACTGGAAAATGAGAACACAGAAGATGAGAAAAAAAATTATTTGCGCGCAAATGGAAGCATGTTACAAATGTACAAATTAAATAGCGTGACGACCAAAGGAAGATAAGAACGATAACTACATCGCACGAGACTCGCATGAGACGTAAACGTAACATTGCAACGCTTATAAATATTCATAGAGACAGAAGCGACCATATTAACATGCTCTAAATTATGTTGATAATAGGTCACATCGTATTCATATTATTCTGGGAAGGACGCAGTGTTCTCATGCTACTTTTAGTAATGCTAATGGAGATATGAGAGAAAAACATCCATTCTGCCGACAAATCAATATCAGCCACTTATACAATTTCTTCGGATTGAATATACGAGGGCGATCCGATAAGTACTTAGCCTACAAAAGAAAAACGAAAATTTTGGAAAAGTGGCGATTTATTTCTCAACATACTCTCCTTTTAGCTCGATACACTTGACCCAGCGATGCTCCAACTTCTTTAACCCATCTGAAAAATACGTTTTCTCGAAGTCTATAAAGTAGGCCTCCGTGGCGGCGATGACCTCCTCATTCGGCCAAATTGGTCGAATTGGACTACGAACTGCTGCCCCATTCACCGTATTCTCCAGATTTGGCCCCGTACGACTTTTTTTTGTTTCCAAACTTGAAAAAGTCACTCGCCGGGCAGAAATTTGAGTCGAATGAGGAGATCATCGCCGCCACGGAGGCCTTTGCATACTTCGAGAAAACGTATTTTTCAGATGGGTTAAAGAAGTTGGAGCATCGCTGGGTCAAGTGTATCGAGCTAAAAGGAGAGTATGTTGAGAAATAAATCGCCACTTTTCCAAAATTTTCGTTTTTCTTTTGTAGGCTAAGTACTTATCGGACTGCCCTCGTATAAGCTTGTCGGTTAATCTGTGGCGTTACGAGTATAATGCCCGCCTCTGATACAACTGGAAGTCGATGTTATCTACAGGTACGACAGGTACGTTCTATGCGAGAAAAGTCTCGTAATTGTCGAGCTACTGTGCGCCTAATAAATATGTAATATTTCAGAGGGTTCAGTAAGAATATTACGATCGTGTAATTAAGTTCGCAAAAAGTATCTAGTCCCGGAAAAGTATTAAAATTTTGTGCACTCAAAACACACATATTTTACCATTTTTTTTGTACGTGCTTTGTTTTCTTATGTTTCTTTGTGAAAATGAAATATAATATGTTAATAATAGCTAGCATACACACATAAATACATCGTAGGAAGTGGGAGGAATAACAATTACGAAATTTTCCTCTCGTGCAGCTAAATAGAATTATACGATAAACGAATAGATCATATTCAGCTGAGCTAGCTCGATTAAATTGGCTATGTTTATTGCTGTTAACATATTATGTATTACAGAACTAAATATATAAGAGAAATATACAATTACTAAAGTATATTTTTATAAATATAGCTTTTCTATTAAACAAAAGATATCTGTTTATAATAGTAAGGATAAGACAACATGTTGGAAACGATGCAAAAAGAGAAATAAAGAGAAAAAAGAGAAAGCGATTCGACATTAATATAATCGTTTTTTAAACAGTTAATTTAATTTAAAGCTATTCAGCTTGACAAATACATGCTATAAAGAGTATGTTAAGATTTTTTTTTTAAAAAGAGAGAGAAAGTGCAATTATTTCGATAATTTTCTCGCGACTTTACAAATAATTAAGTTGCGCGATTGTCTTCGCGACTTCATAACAACGTATATAAATCAACCACGGTTCTTACTCCCGGATCATATCCGAAAAGCAACATATCTGCAGCGAATTTATATCCTCCTCCTAACAATAATATCACGATTATCGAATCTCAGTGCTGCCATCCAGTCACATTTACATTCCCAGATTTATCTTTGGGTAACTTAACATACAACACGTTCTTTTCATAATACGAGATGGCAAAAATATATAAAGAATACCTATATTTTACAAATTTAATGGCAGCTCAGGAAAATAGTGACCCACCGATAATGAATTTTTTAGTGACTTGTAAAAAAAAAAAATGACTGAATGGTAGCGCTGGAATCTCAGTTATCGAATTTCGGCTTCAATTCCGGAAGCCAATACATTGCAGACTTGTCGGCACATGTGCGAAAACGACTTAAATGTTTATTTAAGTGCGCATACTTTCTAATCGTGACCGGTCTCGCGCACCGTGCGCGATATGAGATAAATACGAAAGACTAGAGTCGCATAGTGGGCGAAATTAGAAGAAAAAAAAAAAAAGAGGAAGAAATGCTTTTTGCTAAAATCATAATCTATGATATTTATGCATTATCGTCGCGTCAATAAATTTCGTATTAGTTTAAATGTTATAACGTCGAAAAATTTGCTAATCAGTTCTATATATACTTTGTTTTGAACGATTAAAAAGTGAGAAAGAGTGATTGATTTAGAATTTCAGTATGTTGAGGACTCATAAAGTATGTTTCTTAAATCTTTATTTAATATTTTTAGTGCCCCGCTTTATAATCTCCGTTTGATTTCTTTGAGAAAATAATCTTTACATAATTTAGACATCAGTTAATAACTATAAGTCTTTGTTAATCTAGAAATACACATGTATTGTACTCATTGGCTATATTATTAATAATTAAAATTTGTTTTGTTGTTCTTTTTAGTCCTCCTTTTATATATAGCTACTATTTTTCAGAAAAGCAAAGTAACATTTTTTTCTCGCAGGAAGCTACATGAACTTCTGCACGATATAAGCTAATAGAGCAAAATCGAAAGAAATTTTTTAAAGACTTATTTAAACGATAAATCCAAGATTAATGATAAATTCAAGAAAGTGATTCCGATTCTGAAATATACAGTGATTAATCGAAAATGTATTACAAAATACATTATTATTGTTAATTAAGACACAGTCTTCAGTACATAGTTTGCAGTATGTTTTTCATTGTTTTACCGTTTAAATAGTAATTTATTTCCTTCTGTTTCAATTTCGTCCGCTGTGTGCCACAGTCGATGAGAGAAAAAATTGAAAATTTCTAAAGGTGCTCATCATCTTTTTTTGGATCGTGCTAAATGCTACCTCAGTATGGCGAACGAACGAGTGAACAGCCCTAGAAGCGCTAAGGGCTTTCACACACGAATTGCCGTAAACATAAGTAAATTTAGGCTCAAGAACCAACCAGGATATTGTTATAGATTTATGTATTCTAGGACCGATATTTATGGTCGAGTCTTATACAGGGTGTTCCAACAAGGAATAATCTTCGTGAGAACGTAGAACGGATTGAGGTGAACAAAAAACACGTACATTTTTGAGTTATTAATTAAATAAGCCTTTATATACGGCCATTTTCAATAATTAATAGCTGGAAATTTTGTGTGTTATTTACAAAATGGTACACTTTTTTGTTCACCTTAATCCGTTCTACATCCTCGCGAAGTTTGTGACTATTGGTCTGGGATTACTCTGTATATAAGATCGTCTTGAGGAAGTCTAGTGTTAATAAGGGGGAATAATCAGATCCTCCACACCGATTTCGCTGAAATCTTAATATGTTATGATACTAAGCCCAAAATCAATAAATAGGCAACTTTCAAGCATTCACGAGAAATTTGCACATGAAATTTCTCGCGTGCCGTAAATGTCGCTTATGAAAAAGAGCTAAATAGCGAGCGTGGTAGAGCGGCAAAGGCGGCGATCTGGAATGCTGCATATTGCGAGTTTTTTCAACTTTTTCTTTCAATTTTCGCAAAATGCTCATGTCAATGACGCATAAATTAACAAAAGACGCCCAATAATTAACAATTAGTCATAATTTACGTTTAATATTTCGTATTGGTATATTTGTATGCCTGTAATCGTAACTATAATTTCGACTAGCAACTGTGTAATAAAAAGGTCTAAAATACTTTCAAGAATGATCTTCGTTTCATTATGAGAAAGTGTACTTACCTGCGAATGATAGTCGTCGTAAAAACATTTAAAACAAAATATGTTTACACCGAATACATTGTATTCCATTTATCAATAGTTGTTCATCATCCTTCATTGTGCCAAATCTCTTTAAATGTGATCAGCCTTGTCTTTATAATACCTTAAGTGACCATTTCGGATGTGTTTCTGTAAGAACACTTTCTTTATAAGATAACGGAATCTAGTCTATCTTCATCTCTAATTGCTCTGCAGCGAAACCAAGATTTTTTCTCTATCAGGTTCTTCCTCGCACTATCCACTAAGATTTTATTCTTGTACAAGGTGTCTGAAACTTTTCTTGGGATATGCGACGTGCAGATAGAACGAAAAACTGGAACAAACTGAAAACGTGTAGCTGAACAGAAAAATTATATTTTGCCATTTTGCAAAATTCGCAATAAGGAATTAATTAATCTGTATGAGCTAATGATCGCACGAGAAACAATAGGCCGAACTCTATGCAAAGGAAAATGGCTTGCTTCTGAAAATATCTTAGCAACGATGAGCATCAACTGATTTCTAAGGACGGAGTAACGTAGCGAGCAGCGAGCTTTGCGAGCGGCTTTTGCATTTTTCCGAAATATTCTTTCCACTTATCCTATTATAAACGGTGATTACTACACTATTGATGTGAATCTAACAGCCAAAAAGTAAATAAAAGGCTACTTATGTCGTTATTTAAACCCAAGTCCCAAGTAGAAATTAAAGGGCAAATAAATTTGCGTAGTTGCGAAATATTCGAATCTCTCCAGTAAAAGGAAAACTTCTACAGTAATAGCGAAGCGTTGTTTGTTTATGTAATATTATGAATAAATAAAATCCCTTTTACATAAAAAAAAAATGTTAGACTTTTTATTATAATTGCTAGTCGAAATTATAGCTACGATTGCAGGCATATAAATATACTAATACGAAATATTAAACGTAAATTATGGTTAATTGTTAATTAATGGGCGTTTTGTGTTAATTTATGCGTTGCCTAGTCGTTCATTGAACATTCTGTAAAAATGAAAAAAACCAAATTCGAACGCGCAATATGCAGCATTCCAGATCGCCGCCTCTGCCATTTATTCGCCATTTACGTCGCTCGCTCTTAGTTCCTTTTCATAAGCGGCACTTACGGTGCGAGAAAATTTATATGTAAATACTTGAGAGTTGCGTCGTGCTACTTGCCTATTTATTTATTAGGACTTAGTATCACGACATATTAAAATTTCAGCGAAATCGGTGTGTGGGAAATCTGATCATTCCTTTGTAAATACTGCATTTTCAGAGATGCATCAAGAAGGCCGCTCGTGAATAACTTGATTATTTATATTTTCATTTACTATTTATCAAGCAAAATTTATCTTCTACACATTTATGTCATTACTAACCAAATAATAAATGTTAATTTGAAACGAAGCTGAAGTAAATATGTATTCGCAATATTACAAATATAAAAATATTATTGCTTTTTTTTTTATTATTAATGTTATATTTATGCATCAGTTGATCTAATAGAAATGTACAGATAATGGAAAGAAGTATATTAATATTTGAATATGTGCTTACATGTATATATATATCTTAAATATTATTATAACCTTCCACCACTCTATTTTCAAAACGAAACGGTGAAATGATTCCGAAACTCGTCTATACCTCTATATTAGTCTTTAATATTACAATAATTTTTCAAACATCCATTTTGTACACAAATTCCATTTTATACACAAATATGTCGAATTAGAAGAAATTTGATGTTTTATGTTTCTATGTTTGTACATGTACAAGTTTATAATGAAACATGTCGGTAATGATACGCTAAAGATTATTAATCATTACACATTGTTAATACGATTAACTCTTGTATCATATATATATATTACAGGTTCACCTTACATTTAGTCAAACGTTAGAAGTTCATCTTCAGATGGACTTAAGACAGTCTTAAATATAAAATCTGACTATGACTGCTATTCATAGGCTGCGGTCCTATTCACGTTTACAAAGTTGTAAGCGTCATTCTTTTTTTATCGTTGATTACACACCAAAGAGAGGTATAATGACGCTTACAGTATTGTAAGCGTGAATCGCTGACTGTAGCCGTAGTCAAATCTTATATTTCAAACCGTCTGAAATTCATTTTCAAATGTTTCGTAGCCAATGAAATAAATCCTATAGCATTTAAAAACGAATTTAAGACGATCTCAAATATAAAATCCGACTATGAATACCGGGCTATAAATACCTTAGGATACGACTGGTTGTAATCCTAGTTACACTTTCATCTTCTTTTAATACACAAATTTAAAGTAACGTCCTAATTGGTTCTTCATTCTAAATTGACGTCTCGTGTATACGATGGTTACGTCAATTAATGCGCGGAAGCTCCGTTCCTTGAATCACTCGTATGTGTGATTTTCGAACGACATTGAATAAACTTAAAAACAGTATTGCTCATTGGATATCACTCGCAAGTTACGAGTGATTGAAGAATCGATAGATCGCGGAAACGATATTATTTCCACAGACAACTCGTACTCGTTTCGCTCTCCCGGAGAAGCAACATACGGCCGCGCGCGGCTACCTCTCGCAAGACGGGATTACAAGAGCGCGTAAGCCGGTTGCTTGTGACAAATTCGATCACCTGCACTACGTCGAATTGATGCACGCCGAAAGCTGCTACACACGAAGCGGTTGTTTATATGAAAAAGCACTGAAAGCATTTTAAACCATTAAACACCTGACGATATTGTTTTCCAAATATATATACATTAATCGTTTCATCATCCGAGCGCTTTTGTTATATATTCGACGTGTAGCGGCCTTTAGAGTGCGCTAATCCTAAAATGGTCTTTTCAAGGGAAATTTGGCGGTGAGAGAAAAGGAACATACGAACCTTCTTCATGATACCGGTCTTCCTCTTGGAGAAGGTGGTGTACCGCCTGAGCTTATTGTCGATGTACTCCATTTTAATTTTCACCCGACCCTTGGTCTTCTTACCGTTCGAGGGTGGTGACTTCTTAGGCTGGCCTAGGCTGGTGAAGGACTCTTCGAGATTGTCGGGCACGCAGTCGCCGGGCATGCCGGGCATGCCTTGCGAGAGCCGGCCCGTGTTACCGTCGTCGTAGCAAACGTCGGACGTGGTGCGCTTGATACCCCGCTGCACGCCGACGCCTGGCGTCGCGGCGGCCATCATGGTGGCGCCACCGCGGCCTATTTGAGAAGCTGCCGCGAGCTGAGAGGTGGACGGTCGGCCGTAAATTTCCGTGCCAGCATCGCTGCCGATCATGCCTATGCTGCCGTAGCCGAGACTCGCGTACCGACCGTCTCTTCCGCCGCTAGGGTTGTCCATTACGAACGCGCGGCGCACATTTAATCCCTTGCCCGCTCGTCGTCTTTGCGTGCACGGAATCGCGTGCGGAACTCGGCGCAGTGTCTCCCACGTGATCGAGCATCTAGAGCGGCACACTAGTACAAAGCGCACCGTACGAGCGCTCACCGCGAACTGAATGCGCGCGCGGAGTATCGTAACTTGACCTACGTGCCTCCGCGTGTCACTGCGCGCCGCGGTCGCCCGTCCCCCCACTAGCGGGCCGCCGGCGCCGTGAAAAAGTAGTCCACGGTGCCGGCGGACCGGCCGTGCGATCGATAGCCGCGCCGAAATCGACCTGGAAAAATCGCGACCGGACCGAACTGCCGTATGCGGCCGTCGAATCGCCGGTACGGCCTTCCGTCGCGCCGATATTCGCCCGTTTCCACCGTCGCGCAGTGGTACACCGTGCACCCGAGAGGGCGTCCCCGGCTGCCATATTTAGAAGTAGACGTTACCATATTAGGGAAAGTTTGCCAAATATGGTGAACAGAGGTGGTCCTTCCTTTTCGAATAACCGCACCGCGCGCCGCTCCGAAACACCAATCCAACTGACAGTAGCGCTTCCTGCACGCCTTCCCGACCCCCTCTGGAACTGCCTGACGCTTCTGTACGTGACCGCGAATCGACGAGAGCGCGTCGTCCTCTCGTCTGTGAACCGTCCCGAGAGATCGATTTATATTCGCGTGTGTGCATGCTTTCTCTCTCAAGTCACCGAGATAGAATAATTACATATGGTTTCGGTCAATCTTTCTGTAATATCGATTATGCATATTTTTATTCAATATTCTTTACAGTTCTATATCACAGAGAATACATATTATGTAAGGTATTTCTAACAGCCTTGTTAACATAAACATCATTAAGGACAATAAAAAATTATAGCGCACTTACTGTGGAAGCAAAACATCTATTAGCATATTATCTTATTGAAGAAAAACATTCTTCGCAGTCCAATTTCACTCGCCGGATGCCATCGCATGAGCGTGAGTTACGAGAGTGTCGTGAATTTCACGTGCATACGCCACCTGCGCACGCACAGTCATCAAGAATTGTGGATATGTCAGAGCAGGCCCTTCCGGAGCACTGACCGAGTCGGTCCGTGTCGGTATAACAGACATCGGTAGATACCGTACTGAACTTGAATTCTGAGACAAACATTCCACGGAGGTCTTCAGATGTAGCTCTATCTGATCACAAATCGAATAGAATTCCTCCATATTTTTGTTGAAGCGATGATCGGGTTGATCTATTCCCTTCATGGATCCTACATCCACCAGACTGTTCTGATGCAGCGTTTGTGCTGCAGTTTTAAGAGCTATGGCTAAGGATTCTCTCAAAGGTCCTACTAGAGATTTTACTTTAGAAATATTGTCCAACTTTTCTTGTGTCTGTTGCTGTTGTTGTTGCTGCTGCTGCTGCTGTTGTTGTTGTTGCTGCTGCTGTTGTTGTTGCTGCTGCTGCTGCACTTGTTGCTGCTGTGTCTGTGACGCCTGCTGCTGATTCTGAGGCAATTGAGTATTCACTGACTGCGCCATCTGACCTACTCCGATAGCTCCTGATTGCTGAATCGGTGGGATGTTCATTGTAACCCTATGATAGAAATGTAGGAAAATTTAATGTGTTCAATTAACAAAGTGAACAATGACAAAAACATACACAATAATAAAACAAGGTGGGCTTTCTTACATGATGTCAATTAAAAATTATTACTTTCATTACTAGTCCGAATCAATTATGATAAATTTTGAAGAATTTACCTTAAACACAAAAAGTTCACTGGATATTTCTATATAAAAATTACTTTATTATTGTTTGTAGTTATTTAAAGGATTGTCTACATTAAAGGTAGTAACACTGCAAAGTACAGAGTAAGATTCTTTTCACCATAACACTAGGAGCAAACGAAATGGATTATTCTTATTTTCTATTCCCTACTTACTTCCAATGTAGACGCCCTTATTTGTTGCAGCTTACTTCCAATGTAAATTGTCCTTAAAAAATTTTTTTTTTAATTATCAATATAGATTTAACCTATAAACACTATATAGAAATTACATACACTCAAGCCTAGCTTATACGGAACTTTTCGATATTTTTTGTTTCGTATGATGTTAAAATTAATTTAGAATTTCAGATCTATAGCTAAAAGATAATACAAATGTTTCGTTCATAGATATCCGATGATAAAATACATACAGAATGATTCCCAAAGGGAAAATATTGATAAGGTTATGTATCTCTTAGGGCTTCCTCTCCTTTCCTTCAATGATAGAGATATAAGAATAGAGGGAACAAGCCTGTAAGTGGAAGTGATAGAGGCAAAGAGAGAGATGGATGCCGAGTGTCCTATCTGTCTCTTTCTAGTCGAGCGCTGTGATTGGTTGTTACAATGAGCCGCCAAGACGACCACGCGACGTCAGGAGGGGAGAAAGCAGCTAAAATTTCGTTTTGTAAATATGCGTGCACATGTGTGTAGAATTAAAATTCGTTAAATATTCGAACGTTAACAAAATAATAATTGGACGCGATTTGTTTAAAAATGAGGCATTGTTTGAAATGCAAGGCGGAGTCTTATCCTGGATGTAACCGCAGTTTTCACTCGTAAGAAAGTACAAATACGTAACCTCAAATAATTATATGTTATTTTTTCCTACATTTAAAAAAATATGTAAATGTTGTAGGCTATCGAAGGATGTAGATATAAGGCGTAAATGGTTGAATATACTTCAACTACCTTTGTATTTTGAAGTGAAAACAGCATATATTTGCAGTGATCATTTTAGCAATGACAGTTTCTTTGAATTGGATGGAGAAAAATGTATAGCTATATCGTCGTTGGCGCGGCAGCCAATCCCAGCGCGTGACTAGAAAGAGACAGATAGGACACTCGGCATCCATCTCTCTCTTTGCCTCTACCACTTACAGGTAGCATATATCCCTTGTTCCCTCTATTCTTATATCTATATGCCTTCAATTCTGGTGTCTTCTCAATTATGGCTGCAAACAGCCTAAAGGGTCATCTCCAACGCTAATAGCTACTTTTAGGGCTTATGTTCACGATGTTAGATCTTGACCTGAGGATGGACAAAATCATCGATGTTCGCTTATGGAGGATGGTATTGCATCTAGAGAAAATGTCAGGGACTCTAGAAATTCTCTATCTGACCAATTTTGTAAAGGGCCTATCTGAGCCAATTGGCAATCCGACAAACCAGTACGACACATTCTCAATGAGTGAACATTTTTTAAATCGATTATTTTGCCCATCTATAGTCATTTCTCAAATCGATTATTTTGCCTATATCTCTAGTCCTTCTCTCTCGTTCACGCATAGACTCCGCGAGTAAAAGAGAACGCAAAGTTTATCAACCATGGTAACCATTAATCATGGTAAAGAAATATTATTTTGATCGATCAATTAAATGCTGCTCTACCTATCGAGTAGGATTTCTAAATGCACTCCAGCGAGATCAGCTTGTTGCAAGTATAGTTATGTACATGCGCTACGTTTTGATACCGTCGGTCATGGGATATATCGCACAATGTCAAGAACAAAATTTTATCGAGATTGCTCAATGATAAAGGCGTCAGTGCGGTCATGCAGTTCAATGCGTTTACCCTTTTTTTGTTATTTCATTGCTCCATTTTGAAGTCAACTTTATTCACGATATAACGTGATTAATAATCACGCACGGAGGCGATGGCATTTATTGTAATTCCTGACATTCAGTGAATAATAATAACAGAATCTTATTTTGTTGGATTTCGACGGAAAAGAGTAAATGCTCCAAATGAAACGAAACTTAAGCCGGACCGTTGAGGTTAGATTGGTACATATAGATGAAAAATGAAAAATACCGTCAATGTCCGCGGAATTGTCTTTATTTTATGCGTTTATCTAGATATACCTCTGTTATCAAGTCTTTGATGGAATTGACGTAAGAGCGTTAAATGACGAACTAACACGGAACCAACGTCTGATTACTAATGTTCGCATTAAAATTCGAGCGTGATAATATTCAATGCAGATCGCATCTTCCACGAGATTATTTGGCGTTACTAAGTTATTGCGATTACCTTTACAAAATTCGAACAATTTGCTTCCGAGTTTGCAATATAGCGCACATATCAGACAATTGGATGTCACAATGGCCAAGCAAATCTTTCAAGGTCAAAGTGATTACTATAACGGCATAACGATCGACTCGGCCGAAGAAGTCTGTGATAATAAGATATTTACGCAACGTCTCAAAGGTAATTATGTGTTTTTTCTTAGTTTTGTCCTCTTGCTCTTGCACTCATAGGTGAAACTATAGTTAACTGTGATAAAAATCTAATCAACTCACAAATTTAAGCAAGAGATTACGGATCCTGGATTATATGCAACTTACAAACGCTTTTCCAGATTCCTTAGAACAATGGATAAAGAACAAGAAACGCACTATATGGTTTCGTGTACATATACCTCATACAGAATGGATCCCGATATTAACAAAGCAAGGATTCGTATTCCATCACGCGAAGGAAAAATATGTTGTGTTATATCGTTGGTTACCTGTCGATGAAGAATGCAACGTCCCAAAATATGCACATACAATTTTAGGAGTTGGCGCATTCGTGTATAACGAGGGAACCGGTGAAATTCTTGTCATCAAGGAAAAATATTCCTATAATAAAGCAACTTGGAAGCTTCCAGGTGGCTATGTAGAACCAGGTATTTTAATCAAGCCTATTGTATATAGCAATATATACCATAGTTTTTATTCGTACATATGCATTTATGCTTATTAGGAGAGAACATCGAAGCAGCAGCCAAGAGAGAAGTTTTGGAGGAAACAGGAATTCAAGCAGATTTCAGGTGTCTGCTAACATTCAGACATGGACATGGATATTCCTTCGGATGCTCAGATATATATATGATCGCATATCTAACGCCACAAAATTTTGATATTCAGAAATGCAAACGAGAGATTTTAGAATGCAGATGGATGAAGGTAGAAGTAGTATTTTGTAACGTAAGATCTCCCTCATGTATTCAACTCAACAGTATTAAGGCTCTGGAATAGTCGCTGTGATTGTCTTTGTCTGATGACGTCAGAAGCGAGAAAATGCATGCCAAGATTTTTGCACTATACTTTCTAGCTAAAGCTACATTTTGTTTTATCGATTGATGCAAGATTAAATGTTATCACTGTTTCAATATGTCTGCATCTCAGGTTATTGTTATGTAATTGCTTTGTTTCCTATTCTTTCAGCTAAGTGAATTCATGGAACATCCAGAGATACATGCACATAATAAAACACTTGCAACGAAAACAGTTGAATTTCTTGGGCATCAAATGGGTATGGTTGTAAATTATGAAAATCATCCTATTACCCAAAAGGAGATACATATATACAGTGTGGATCTTGTTACTAACATAAAAAAGTAAATATACATATTTAACAAAATACTTTTCTTTGGTTAGACCAAGCAGAATTGTTTTAAATATTATATTTAGAATGCACTAACTTCTTCAGGGATAAATTGATTAAACTCTGAAGAAAATAATTTCACTTTTTAATAAATCTGTAATTATGTAACGAGATCTTTTTTGTAAAGATTATCCACAATAATGTTCGTTTTACTTTTACTGACAATATCTAAATTAAAAGAGAAAAATTGTGCATTAGTGATGCCAATGATGGTATGAAGCCACAGCGCACATAAGCGCGGCGGATACGTCGGCTCACGTTGAATCAGTTGAGATGCGGCCGAAACTGCGCACGCTCACAGACACGCGACGCTTCTGTGCTCTGTGGCTCGGTGCCATCATTGGCATCACTGATGTACATACAGGTGTCAATATCTCTGAAAAGTTTAAATTAGTAAATATTATAAATTAATGATTTCTATCAAATAAATTATATTAATTTACTAAGATGACTTATATATGATTTATATATCTTCTTTATAACCATATATCACAATAAATTTGGAATTCAGAGTTGCATTATGGTACATATTTTCTGATAGGTCATGTAATCATTGTTGAAATTTCGCAAATATATGTTAAATAAATTACATTGAGATAAATTTAATCATACTCCATAATCGACTATTTCCGTATGAATTAATTTTTGCATATTACAGCGTAACTATTTGTCATATCATTTAATCTAATTGGCCAACGTGTCTGTAGAACAACATAGATCTCTCGATCGATGATAAATTAATGAGTTTTTTAACGAGACGATATATAAACGATGTGATGTACAATATTATTTTAAACACTATATCACTATTGATACAAATTTCGCGATTATTTGCCGATATTTATCTTAATCAGACTTTAAGGAATTAATGAATTTAATACAATGAGTGTCGCTACCATGGCTACGACAGGTGGCATGCACCAATAATAAAAGAATGGTCGCGGAGCCGCAGTCATTGAAAGAATCACCCAACTCGCTAAACGTATTATATTACTCAATATAAATGAACGACTTCCCTTACGATTAGGAATGAATTTCGCAATACCTAACGTACTGTATGTAGCTAATGTCATCCAACTCGTGAAAAGTACAGGATCCTCCGTGGTGAGTCTCATGTCATAGCTGTAAAAAGTAGATCATTGGTTTTCATATGAAATTTGTGATTTTCTCAATAAAGTGAAATGGTTTTTTTTTCATATACAATACCTGAAGTTTTTCGCCCATATCAAAACGGATGGAATTGCCGGTACCGCAGCGAAACTCCATAGTAAAAACAGAACGAGATGATTATATATCTCTTGACTAGCGCTCCTGTCGTTTCCTTCTCCGCTTTTTGTACGCTTGAAACGTTTGAGCCAACTGAAATACTGGAGCGAAGACATTAACAATTCCTCCAAATAATCCTCGTACATCCTCGTCAACTTCACAAAGAAGAGCAACACTGCGACGATCATGGCTAAAGCCCCACACGTTGTCGGAATTAAGGACAATACTAGGATAGTCGTAAGGAACGGCATCTCATTTAAACCGTGCAGTAACCAGTCCGACCATGTGGTCGAGAAAGCTATTGCGCGTGCTAAGAATCTGTAAAAGATGCAATGAGGTTTTTATCAAGATGTTCAAGTAATTTACGACTCTTTTCTGCAAATCTCTTCCGATATGATTCGTATACTGAAAGAAAAAAAAGTCTAAGAAATAAAAAATTTTCAGTTGGTACTGATAACTTATTTACTTATACTACATACACACGCTTTTACGCTGAAAAAAATGTCTCTCAATGAGAAAATGTACACATTTTTTAATCTGTAATTTTTTCCGAGAACGATCGTTCATTCTATATCTCAATGAAAACGTTTAAATTTAAGTAAATATGTTATTGGTACTCACCGAATAAATATTTCTTTCTTAAATATTTTCATTTTGACATAAGCAAAAAATTTTACCTGGCGACTATTCCATGTTCTATGACGGAACCAAGAAATATGACAGAGAAGCACACTCCGATGGCGGATATACCAATGATGCACAAAGCAATGCAAGTTTCGTAAGTAACGTTAAATACGAAGGATAATACAACAGTCACGATTATCGCCGGCAGAGTATCCGACTCTCGATGTATTCTTGCAGATAAGAAAAGTAGGAGCAAACTGACAATCGCTATGTAAAGCAACGGCCAACGGTCCCGTACTCTACAAGAGATCTTGTCGATAATTCCACCTGGTTGAACGTTAATTGCGTAAAGACACTCCGGATCCAATGTCAGTCTCAGGCTCGCCGTTTCATTGGTACGCCCATATAGAGTTTGAATCTTTATTGTTTTCGGACCGTCATCCCTGCGTCACAAGTACAATGAATTCGCACGTGCTAGATATACCGGGTATTGCAGAAATACAAGTGGCCAAACTTTTTGTATCCTTGCTTCGGCTCAATAACATCGGAAGCGAGAAATCGTATATCAAAATATATTGCAGTATGTGTGGAAATAAAAGAATATATATGCACAAATCGACACTCGTCGATTCGGCGGATTTGTTAAAATTGTGAACAGAAAATATTAATAATTTGAAAGAAAGCGCGTTTGTGAACTTATAAGTATACACGTGAATCTTTTTTTATCTTACAGTGAGTAAAATACTTTTTTTAAAATTTGGCCATCTAATTTTTGAAACACTCGGAAGCATTGCACATCGAGTACACACTTACGTATTTGTGAAAAATCTTAATTGAGTGGCTCCCACGTTCCACGGTTCTATCAGCTCGGCGACAACATGCTGCTTGGTGTTGATACAATTCAACGATTTCACTTCGATCATGACCGCGTCCATGATGTTGAGAAGCGGCACGTAATATCTTACACTGCCTTTGGCTGTTTTAATGAAATCAGGTTCACGGAAACCAAAGAAATGCTTGAGATGCATAAACTTATTGTTCGTAGATGCAACTCGACTCTCATAAAAATACGAGTCAAAGCTGACTGTAAAATGTTTTTTTAAATCGTCTGAAGTTACTCTCACAACAACATGCGTGATATTCGGGTAATTTATTTGTTTCAGGTCTAAATCGACGGTTCTTCTTGTTCGATGTTGCGGATCCGGCAAAATTCTCGTTCTGTTCGTCAAGTTCCAAGCCCATTCACTAAAACGCATATATCGACTGGTTGAAATGAACAATAGCTTTTCGTCTCGTAGCAATAATATATAAAGAAATATAAATATAAGCATGGCTTTAAAAATTACAAAAAAGGAACGTTAATACCTGGCCTATGAGAGCTAAATCACTGTTATCGGAGTTGAACAAATTGGATGAATTTACAATTTACAAAAACGTTTCTATCTATTGCATATCCCCTTCAGTTTGATTAAAATAAACCAAGTATTAACACATTTCCTCTTAGTAACGCGCAATTAATAATTACCAACGTTAGTTACCAAACGTTCCTTTGCTGTTGCCTTTTGGATGCTGTGCATGCAAACAACCAATCCTTATTTTCCAAGTTTGTCGCATCAATTGTTAAAAAGTCAAATTCGCGAGATAGTTCTATCATGAGATATATGGCAGATGATCCTTTAGATATATTTTTATTGGTCCAGACATACCGTGGAGATACAATGTTAATCCACTCACTGTCGGTCTCAAACTGGATCTTCTCTTTATAATGATACAGTTTTTTACCCGAACTATGCTGAAACCGACATATATTGTGACGAGATTATACTACTATAAAAGAAAAACCAACGAAAAAATCGTTACTCACTTGTAAAAAGTGATAGGACAAAGCTTGCATTTTCAAGTCGGGATCTGATGTGATTCTAGGCGGCTTCTCCGTGTTCACAGAGTCGAACAGAGAACGCACGATTGCGAATACCAACTGTTTGCACCACAAGATACTCAAATGATCCGTGGATTTCCAGACGGCGGGCACGCTAGTCGAAAGAACATTGATATCTGCTGTAGGATCGAAAGTTTGAGCGGCGGTCACGAGTATATCGCGCGGTCCGCCTCCAATGGACACCACCTTCGTTCCAGCATTTTTAATCATGTCCAGACGGTTTTCCAATTCAAAATAATAATTGGCAAATGCATTGTCAAGAGCCAAGACAGGAGTATGAGGAGTAGCCAAATTTATTATAATGCTCGCAAAGGAAGCGTTCATATTCGGCGCTAATAAAAGGGCTCCCTTTGCTACAACACCACCCTGGAACAAGAAATTGTAAATACTTTGTATTGTATGAAGTATAGCTGTATGTATGCATGTATATATATTTCACCCTTATCACTCATCATTGTACATCTGTGTTACTTACCATGGAATGTCCTATTAGTACAACACTGTCCATTTTGCCTTTGTATAAGGCTAATATCGCCTTTATGCAATGCGACACATAAATGGTATGCTCCATAAGCACGCCTTGTGAAATTACATACGTAAAATTAAGAATATAGCGATAAAAAATATTTCAAGATTTAGTACATATGCAACATTATTCATCCTACTCGTACCTCCATATAATGCAGAATAATCCTTACTAAATGAAACGGTAAAAAAGTCAAAGTGAAATGGTAACCTGTTTTTCAAGCTTTTCCTTAAGCTTACTGAAGCAATAGATCGTACTGAAATATAATGAAACGATTAGATAATGTATTTACATACCTGTAAAACTATGACAGACATATATCGCATAATTAAAATTTCAAAGTTTACAAATAAAAAACACAATATGAACCTTGTTGATGAGATCCTGCATTGCCCGGTATAAAAAGGACTGGAATTCCAGAAAAATGCATTCTCCTCAGTTTTTCTGTAACAAAACCTTCGCCATAGGCATACAGACCAAATCGTGGATATTTTTCTTCTATATCATTTTTTAAGGATATCCTCTGAAATAAAAGATTATTTAGAAAGTAGCAGTGAGAAATTATACCTTTATATATTAAAAATATATTTTGAATTAAAATTTATATAAAGTTTAATAAACTATTTTTATATTTTCTATTCAAATTTTAATGTGACCTCTTGTTACATAATATTTATAAGAGAATATTTGTTTACACTCTTAGTTATTAAGATTGATTAGTATAGTTTAAGACAATCAGATAAAAATGAAAAATGAGCATACTGTTCAAAACAAATATTCTCAATTCTTATAACAGACTAAATATTATAGACAAGGTGCTTATATAAAAATACTATCGTTGAGTTATAATACATAGATTTACATACAACATATTGTGGGTATTCGAACATATATGTCATTTCACATGTATTTTCTTCAAAATCAGTGATATATCTTGCTACTCCAAGAATATACAGTAGACCAATGAATGTGAAGAACAATGTTG